CGGCGCCTCCAGCAGCCNCGCGCCACGCATCGCGCGGACGCCGCGTCCGAGTCCGCACGCAGGCGCTTCAGCGCCCTCACCACGCGGTCCCCAACCGCCGTCGCGTCCTCCTCCCCCGCCACAGCCAGCGCGTTGCCGTCCAGCGCACGCTGCAGGGCGTCCGCGGCCTCGCCAAGCTCGCTCAGCTTACACTCCAGCGCACGCTCGCGTGCGGCAGCCTCGTTCAGCCGCTCGTGCATTTCCTCCTCGCGCGCCCTAGCGTCCTCCGCCGCCCGCACAATGGCTGCTGCTGCGGGCTCGTCGACGTCCTCCGCGCCGAGGGCAGCCAGCGCGGACTCGATGCCGCGCAGGCACTGCGCACGTGTTGATCTATTGTTGTCTTTTTGCTGTGCTGAAGACGTTATGTTGGGATCTTCATCTCCCAAAAGCGACTTACAATTTTTTATTTCTTGCAAGATTGCCTTTATTTTAGTTACTGCTTCTTGCGGCGTTGATTGTAGCATTTTTGCCACTGTGGCTTCAGTGATTATAGCCCGTTGGGTATTTTGTACAGGATGGTGTGCGTAGTAGTCTTGTATTAGTTTTAGCCGTTCGTTGAACTCCTCTTGTTGCAATTGTGATTGCGCAGCGACTGTGGCTGCTAGCTGAGCAGTTTGTTTTAATAGTTCTTGCGTATGTTCAAGTGTTTTTTGTGTTCCGTGTAGAGCTGGCAATTGAGCAAGCAGTTCTTCAGTAGTGGTGTGCATGGCTTCGTCTTTGTCTAGCAATTGTTGTAGTGCTGTGCGAAGGTGCTGCAGCTCTTCCCGTTGGTCTACAATACTCTGAACAACGTCCTCGTGGTGCCCAGTAACTTTCCGAATGGTATCTAGCTCCTCGCTGTTGGACATTAATTGTAGAAGGAAATTCACTACGCTCGCATTTGTAGTTTCAAGAAGTGCGTGTATGTTTTGCAGTAAAGCCTCACTGTCGTGAAGCGACTGTAGTCGGCTGCGCACTTCCGTAAAGTCAACGTCGCCGTCCACCTTGACTGGGCAGGTGACACCTGCATAGCGCTCTATAATTTGCTCTAGCTGAGCATGGTTGTCATGAAGTGCCTGAATAGAACTACAAAGATCTCGCGTTTCGTCGGTGCCTGCGCCTATTTCCTGACTACCAAAGACGCGTGCAGCCGTTTGAAGGAGTGCGAGATGGTTCCGCATTGCCCACATGATAAGTTCTAGGATGCAGTTCGTGTCACGCCCAGCACAGAGAGGCACAACACTCCTCAGTGCCCAAAAAAAGAACCGCTGCAGCCGCATGGCAACGACGGTCCTTGGCACTTCGTCTCCGTCGGAAACGAGTTGTGTCGCCCATCGGGTGATGGAGCTATCTACGTCATCTCTCCCTGCGTCGTGGTCCAGCTCCGTCGCATCATCCTCTGCCTCGCCATATAATTCTACTCGTGGTGAGACCAACGCCGCGTTTTCGGCAGGCACCACAACCGCCGTTCGTGTCATGGAACTCTGCAATGCGGTGAGTTTCGCCTGGAGGACCGAGAGGTCATTTCTCCACCCGTTCTTTGCCCGAGAGAAGTTTTGCTCTAGTGCGCCAATCTCCGCGTCACGCTCACGTCTTACACGTCCGAGTTCCTGCATAAGTGTCTCTAATGCCTCTTGTTTGCTCTTGGCCGCTAGTCGCTCCTCCTCCAGTGCCTTAACCACCTCAAAGTGCGCCGAGTTGATAACAAGTTTGTCCCCACCGACGTTGCTTCCGCGAACTGCAGAGAGGATGTGGTCCCGAAGCGACGCGTACTCTTCGTAGCATTCCTGGAAGAGACTTACTACTGCCTTTGTATAGCAAAGAAGCGCCTCTTTCGCTATACGCTCTATGTTTTTATTTTGACGCACTTCCTGTAGTGCGTTCCGCGGGGTAACAGGTGCCACGTCCAGGGCACGACGAGCAGCACGGAGCTCGGCCAACATGTCGTCCGCATCCTCCTGCTGTGATCCCTTCCTCACTTCATGACTTAGTGTCGCATACGCCTGTTTGAGTTTATCGGACAACGCCATGGCCCCAGCACGGTGGTCCTCGCCTGTCACCTTCGCCTCTAGTGCGCCCCACGTAGACTCGTAATCCCGCACCATATCCAGGCATGCCTTTTCCAAGTCGTCTTCCTGCGGTGCATCTGCAGTCTTACCTGCGACGGGCACAACTGCCGATGACAACTTTGACTTTACTAGAAGGTCATCTATGCATTTTACGCGTCGTTTTTGCTCTTCTTCTGTCATTCTGTACTTGTCTCTACCAGGTACTTGCGGACTGCCATTGGGAACATGCCTGTCGTAAAGGTCGTTCCACAACTCAACTAAAGGCATAAGATCCTTTGCACTAGGTGGAAGATCCGAGTCAGTGATGGCATTGGCTGCGTTGCTTTTAAGTTTATCCAGCAGCTCATCCACATGCTTTTTCCACGTGTCATTGTCCATCTGGTCTCCGCTAAGGGGAACCTCCTCCTGCCCGCCGCCTGCTGCGGAGCTCACCGCCCGCGAAGCCTCGTTGAGGAGGTTGAGCGCCCTCCGCCTCCATAGCTGCACCGCATTCATCCACTCCGTCAACTTCTCCTCCACCTCCTCACTCGTCGTCTCATCGTGGTCGTCTCCCACGGCGGCGCCTGACTTCGTTCGTGACCGCCGCGACAGAAGCTCGGCAGGAGGGCGTTCCCGCGTACACTTGTAGGTCTCCACGAACTGCTGCCAAATCTGAAAGTCCTGTGCGTTCTCGGTGCACAGCACGACGCGCTCACGCTTTGCCAGGTGCTCCACCTCCTCCACGGTGTTGTCGCGAATGAACTCCAACACCATGTAGTAATACTGCGGCGGCTGGGGCACAGCTGCCCCGCGTGCCCCGCGCTGGGGATGAGGTGGCACCCCGTACGGTCCACCCGACACCGGCGGCTTCGGGTTGTGCGTGAACCACGCCACCCGTTTCATAGATCGAAACGGAACCTGCTTTATTAGACGCGACTGCGTGCTTCGTGTTGAATAGACGGAGAAGCGGTCGTCCTCAATGCAGACGTAATTTTTAGAGCCCCTCCCCGCGCCAACCTTATAGGGCTTCTCACTGTCAGCGCACATCCAAAGTTCCCCCCTGATGGCCAAGACATCCTCCTCCTCGGCTGGGAACATTGCCGCCGCCGTGTTTTTCGCTTTTGGTTTTCACTTCTGTCTCCACTGCAGTTGTCGCCGCCGCCGCCGCCGCCGCCGCCGCCGCCGCTCTTTCTATACCTCAACCCTCCTCACGCCGCAAAGGTCAAATAGGTATAGTACTGCTGCAGGCCAAAGTGGACCCGAAGAGGTGAGGAAGACCCAAAGGTGAAACCAGAAAAGCAAAAAAAAAAGCAAAAAAAAACACACACACGGCGCTACTTTTTGTCGGTTATGCGTTGTCTCTCTTCCTAATTATATATATATATATATATATATATATTTATATGGTCGTATATATATAAATATATTTACCTGTGTCTGAGAGTCCGCGTAAGTGAATAAATGACTGTATTAATGGATGAATGTGACACTAGGCGTGATGTGGATGACTGAATGGGTGCGTATATCGATGTATGCGCGGATTCTTAATTTGTGTGGGAACTGAAAACAACCGTCGATAACGGTCTTGTCTTGTATGTCCCCTTGTAGGGCGGTGGTGGGAATTACACGAACCGCCTCCTTCCTTCTTGTCTGTGTTGTTTGTTACTTCCCCCTTCCTCACGTCGCAGCAACTGCAGCAATAAATGGGTGTATGCAAACAAATAGCTACACCACGCGGCCTCACTGATTTGTTTTGTGTCTACCCCCTTCGCTCTTTCGTTTACTCACTCTCTCTCTCTCCTTCCGGCGTTCACCCTCTGCCCTTAGAAGTTTGATTGCCTTTCCTTTTGAGGCCTTTTCGGTTGATTTTTGCTTACTTTTTCTTTTTTTTTCGTCTTCCGTTCGGTGGTCCTTCGGACTCGCGCCGCCCTTCGTGTTATGCGTGTGTGTTTTCGTTTCCCTTGCAAAAGCGTGCCCCCTCGCGTGCACCTGCGCGGCAACGACGGCGGTGGAAGCACAGCGGCCAAAAGGACGTGGGGGGAAGAAGGGAGTGTAGAAAAGCGAGAGACAGAGAGAAAGAGGGCGACGCCGAGTACAGCGTGCAAACAAAAAAAAAGAAACAACTCACACACCCCACAATTCCCCAGCCAGGCCGCCACTGTTTCCTCCCACTTCACCCCCACACCATCGGCACCACTCGAAGATACAACAATATTGTAATTTTGCGGTTGAATGACTTTTGCCAAGCTTCTCCGTGAATGGCGGCAAGTGACAAAGTTATCGCCCTTTCCTATTCTGCTTCTCCCTGTGCTGCTGCTCCTGCTGCGTGATCCCGCCACAAGAGCCGACGCACATACACAGAGGAGAATTGAACACCTTCGTCTCCATGTTATCGTCTTTTTTTTTTTGCATTCTTATCTTCTCTTAAGCTCGGTCCTTTTTCGTGTCCTCGTTGGCCTCACGACCAGGAACAAGTAGTGTCGGGTGGGAAGGACCCCCATCGCATGGATACCTCCAACCGCGGGCGGCCGCAGCGGCGGCTGGCCCATGCGACACTAAACAGTGAAAACACACGGCTGGGAGCGAGCATGCACCATCCGCCGGCATTCACTTTATCTGCGTCTTCTCACGGCTCCTCCACGGATGGCTCCAGCGCTGGTGAAGAACGGCATTCACCCGCCGCCGCGCTAGCGGCGCCGGCGGGGTCGCATGCGGGTGTAGCCAGTGAGGCTTCCACTGCGGGTGTTTCTTCTTCGCGCTTCTGCTCACCCGCCTCCGTGGCATTCGCGTTGTCATGGAGAGACACACCCACCGGGACACCCGCTGCGGCGGGAGCAACGCGTTGGTCCGCCACTTCGACAGGCACGCGGTCCGTCGCCACAGACGCCGCCACCGCCACGCAGGCAGCCGCCGGCGCCGAGGAGGACGGGGATGAGGACCGCGACGTACCTGCATCCTCTTCCGTCTCTTCCTCCTTGTCGCTGTAGGCGTCCGCGGAGAATGCGGACCGCGACGAACAATCGTCACTGTCGTCCTCCGCGGACGAACTCGTTTCGTTGGCGCTGCTGTAGAGCGTCGAGGAGGATTCGGAGCTCGAGTCGCGCAACGAGTCGTCGTCGTCGTCGTCGTGAGCGGAGAGAGAGCCACGCAGCAGCGGGTCTGTTGCCACCTCAGACCACGGGGGCAGTTCGCGGTAGCCGAAGAAGGAGTTGCCAAAGAGGTGGGACATGGTGCCGAGCTGGTACTGCGTGCGCTCCACGTAGGGGTCGTTCGTCTGCGGCAGCGGCTTTTCACTCAGCAGCACGCTCTTCAGCGCCGCAAAGGTGTCGCTCTGACGGTCCAGCGTGCAGCGAATGAGACGGCAGCAGTCCCGCACTTCATAGTCCTCGTCGAAGTGGGCCACCTCCAAGACGTAAAAAAAGAGTTTGCGAAAACGATCTGCCATCGAACTGCTGCCATCAAGGTAGAGCCAAATCTTGCAGCCAAGCATTAACACCTGCTTCTTCACTTCCAAACTCTCCTGTACAAAGCGCTTCGCAAACACACGGAAGCACTCCGGCGCCGCCGTGGCAATTGCCGCGTGACGCCGAATGTTCTCCCCTACAAGCCAAAGAATACTGGCCTTCGCGGACGACACCGCGATCTCGTCCTCCATTACCTGCTGCAGCAGTCGGTACACTAACTGGCACGTGCGTGCCGCGTCACTTCCCTGAACGACGAGCAGGCGCAGCACAGAAATGGACTCCGACACCACCTCCGTGTTGGGGTGGGACATGAGAGGAGCCAAGAGACGCATAATCTGGGAGGCGCACTTTGGCAGCCGTCCTGCGATGAGTCCAAGCCCGCGCACCGCATCCACAACGGTCTCCACATGGAAGTTACGAAGATACACGCGGAACTCGCGAAAAAGTTCCACGCAATTGCCCGCAGTGACCAGTTTCGACATAATTCGTATTTTAAGCTCCCGAACATCCCTCACATCACAGGGAAGAAGATAAAAATCTTTGATGTGCGCAACAAACGGCTCTGGCTGCGACAGCACAATCGTATAGATGGCACTAAGAATAATCGCGTGTCGCTCCTCGGGGCCGCCGAGTAGACGTATTAGGGGTTGAACGCAGACACCCAACTCGTTCCTAGGAGCGCAGTAATAAAACAATGAAGTGGCAGCCACAACGACGGCGCTGTTAAGGCTCATAAAGAGTGGCTTGACGGAATCGAGAAGCAGACGATGATGAAAGTCAAGGAGGCCATCGCCAGCCCCCTCGAGGCCGTCTCCGTTTCTCGGGGCAAGTGCTTCCGAGGAAGCTCCCGTGGAAGACGTGAGCGAGGAGGACGAGGAGGACGAGGAGGTTAATGACACATCCGCATCCGCATCCGCATCACCCGCAGTATCCTTGGCTGCGTTCTTCGTCGCCTCATTTCCTTGTTCCACCACGTGCGGCTTGTGGGGACGGTTAGGGTCCATAAACTGCGTTCGCGCATAACGCAAAAGTACGTGCAGCAGAACCACTTGTCCCCACTCCTCACAGTCGATGAGCGAGCGGCAGAGGTCACAGTAGATGGGATGAATGAGGCCCGTCTCATCGGGGCAGATCTCAAGAAAAGAGAGCGCGGCTGCCGAGGCCACCTCCGTACACTTATCCGCTAACAACTGCCGAAGAAGTTTCATTACCGTCTCACGGTTCTCATCCTCGGCGTCAATGGCGTGCATCTGCGCGAGAGAAATGGCCGCCGTTTTCCGCACCAGTGGCTCCGAGTCCGAGGCAGACTTCTTTACCGCCAACAGCACCAGTGGCTGAATGGCTGGGATGCGTATCGTGCTAAGCATCCGCAGTGCAAGGGAGCGTACGTGCAGACTCGGGTCCATCAGGTCCTTTTGGAAGGCAGAAATGGAAAGCAGAGCCTCGTTGGGGCGCTCTTCCGAGTAGTGTGTGATGTAAAAATAAATCAGCTTCCGCAGTTCAATGGACGGGGTGTGAACGTTCTTCACCACGTCTGCGAAGAGGTTTGACATGTCATTCCCCTTGCACATTTGCGCAATGATGCGCTTCATCGCGCTTCGCTTCTCCTGCAGCGAGTCGGAATCAAGGTGCTGGCGCAGATCCTCTTCCTTCGGCTGCACCGAGAAAAACTGCGCATCGCCGGAGATGAGTGAGCGGGCCCGCGACACCATGCTGCCGCCGCCACTAATAAGCTCCTTCGCCCGCTCCGAGACCAATGTGGCCTTCTCCGCAATCATCGCACGACTCATTATTTACTGCTTAGTTTTTTTTTTTCGTTCAGCCCCCACCAAAACGCCTTTTTTTTTTCAAATTATTCCTCTTTGGTACGCGCGTCTAACACGCTCTCTCGCTCCTGCACGACCGCGGGAGAGATGACGGTGTTGGAGCAATGTATTGCGCACGCCCCGCCAGCACCAATACAAGCGATGAATGAATGAAATAATGAAGTGCGCCCCCTCGCCTACTGAAAAAAAAGGAAAATTAATGGATTAATTCAGCTATACCTGACGTGTGTGTTGTTGTTTTTCGGTTTTTTCATGCGTGTATGTTCGTGTGTGTGTGGAGGGTATGCATCGGGCGACGCCGACAACGCCCACAAAAGAAGTGGCAATGCAAGAGAAGCAGAAAGAAGCATTTCAACACCAAGACACGGAGAAGCGGAAAATTGACAGTTTCTCTCCGATGGTTGCTTGCTTTACTTTCCCCCTCATCTCCCTCTCCCTCTCTGGCTATGGGTATGTGTCTCTCCACGACAACGGTAAGTGAAGCAAATGTAAGAATGTATGTATGGGGATCTATGCATGCCTACATGCATGTCAGGAACTGTCGTCTGAGATTTCAATCGCCTGGACCGCTTCCTCGCGTTTCGCTTCGAGGCGTCGCACCTGCGGCTTCGTTCCCTCCTCCCCGCCTGTGGCTGTTGACACGGCGGTTGCGGCCTCAGTCAGCCCGGCCGCGTCACCGCCTCTTGCACGCTTTACGAAGAATGCATGCAGGCCGACAGGGGGTCTGTACTGGCAGCGATGCCGTTCCTCCACCTTGCCAGGTCGCACGGCAAGTGCAATGCCGTCGAAGCAGGCACAGACACCGCAGTGATCACTGTACTGCGGCGGTGTGACAAACAGCCCCGTAGACGGGAGGCCACGGAACTGCACCTCCCTTGCCTCCACGTTCAGTGGCGGCAAGCCAGAGCCGTCGAAAGGGGCGGCCGGGTACAGCCCGGCCGCCGTCGCACGACGCACGCCAAGAATCGCAGAGCGACCATCAAACTCGTCAAAGAAGGCGGGCGCCGCCTCACTTCCTGCTGCCGAGGACGCTTTTGCCTCATCCACGCTGGGCATGGGGGGTCCGGCATTGTTCTCAGTCATGCGACACGGAACCAGTGCCGGGAGAAGCGCTTCATCAATCAAAATGTAGTCAATGCGAGTCCCCTCATTTCGCTGCCGCCTATTCCTGGACTGATCCCAGCATGTGTAGGGGCACAGCATTGCCGTCTGGGCCTCCTCCTCCCTCCCTCGCTCCTGCGTGGCCCGAGGAGAGGTTACAAGAAAGGTGTCACACAGCCGCAGCTCCTCGAGAAGCCCCTTCATAAACTGCACGCTCACGTCGGCATGTGGGGGCAAACCACAGTACCGTGTCAAGGCAAAAATTTCACGGTTGTGTGTCAACGGTTGGCGGCGCAGCAGGGAATCCACGGAGAGACTTTGGAGGCCTGCGTCACACAGTTCCCCCAAGGTGGCTAGTGGACCTGCGCCTCTGCTCCGCTTACGCTGCTCCTCGCGTTGGCGTATTCGCTGCGCGAGAAGGGTGAGAGCGAGATTGCCGCCCACACTGCCGTTGCCACCGTCCTCATCGCCGTCCTTCACAACATCCAACAAGGCACCGCTGTCGACGCTGACGGCTTTGTTCGTCCCACTCAGGCCCGCATTGGCATCTTCGGCAAGAATCATAAGGGAGGCCTGCTCCGCGATGAAGGCCTCTAGTCGTTGCAGGGTAGGAAGAGGAAGCCACGGAAACTGCTGCGCCCACGCCTCCTTCTTGTCCTCCCCCGCCGCCTGCGACACACGGGCAAGTTCTCGTAGCGCAGGTAAACTCAGTCGCCGCAGCGACCAGCACGCGTCCTCGGCCCGGTAGGTTTGATTTAAGTCTCCAAGCAAAATGATCGCCTTACCTGTTTGCTCCCTCAGCTGAATTAGCAGGGTTTTTAGACTCGCCATGAACCGCATCTTAAACGCCATGCGCCGCCCGTTGCGCCCGTTCACGACGTACGTGTTGACCACCACAAAGGCGCTGTGGCAGGTGACGATCACTCGACCCTCGTCGTTCAGTTCCTCCTCGGTGAACGGACGGGAGTCACACCACCATGTGAGGCCCTTGCGAACAAACGTCGCCACCCCGTTGAAGCCACGCTGCGCTTTGCCGCTGAAGGCCCAGAAGGATTCCCACCCATCGACGGCCAACGCCCCTCCGCCGTCGCTGGCGCCCATGCCAGATGGATCCGCCTCCAATTTTGCCCATGACCCCTTCACCTCCTGCAGACAGATAATGTCTGCCTGAGTGCGCTGCAGAAAACATGCAATGCTCCCAAAGTCCTCTCGGATCGCCTTGGACGTCGAGGACCACCCCGCCACGTTCCAACTAATGATGAGCATCGAGGTCCAGAGTGTAGGGCGTGCCTGAGGGGCTCGGTGTTCCCTCTTGTTGTTCCCGCCTCCCTGCCCTCCGCTTCACTTCTCTCACGACTCCCCCTCCCGGTTTTATTGCTTGTGGCGCCTGCATGTGCGTTTTCATCACGTGCATACATCCCCAGACACAAGCCCACACCCATGAAGAGAAAAATAAAAATAAAAAATAAACTTATATACTAATCACAGAAAAAAGAGTGTCAGTCACGCAACAAAAACCGCCTCTTACCACCCCTTTGTTTGGAAGAAAGACACACACACACACAAGCACACATATATGCATGACGAAAGAGGGAGAGAGAAAAAGAGAGAATGGAGCCAGCGACAAAGAAAAAAAAAGAAACAAAAAAAAAGAACCCATTAAAAGTGCTTCTTCAGCTCACTTCGCATCCGGTCAAACACACTGGACTTGCCGCGGGCCCCTTTACTGGACTGCAGCAGCGCCGTGTATTCCTTTGTGATGCTAAGCAGCTGGGAGCGACTCTGTGCAGGGAGGGATCTTAGGGACCCCAGGAGCTGAATACTGGGGATAAGGTACTTAGTCACAAGCTGTGGTGTCACAACAGCGCAGCGAGGGATAGCTGCCAGAACAGCAAGCACAGACTCTAACGCGTCCTCCGTCAGCGTACGCTGTTCCGAGGGGGGCAAACTGCCCCTTCTCCCTGCCACAGTGAACGTTGCCGGCTTCGTCTCCATCCGCCGCATTGTCCCACTCAGTTGGTTGACCATATTGGACAATTGGGGGTACAGGAAGGACTCACGCGGCTCCGCCGGCATCTCACGCAGGAGCGAACACCAGTGGCGCAAGAACGCCACACCTAGTCGCGAGGAGCATCCCTCCGCCTCAACCATTGCGAGCACAATGACCATCACCTTCTCTTGCGCTTCCGGGGTGCTGACGAACTTCACCATTGAAAGTGCCGCCCTCATGGCGGCCTCCTTCACCTCATATACAGCGTCATTCATGAGCAATAGCAGCGGCGGCCAAATACTCGTCTCCCGCACCTTGTCGTCCTTCGGCAGCCCACTCACACGCTCCACGAGGGTAACGGCAAGCCTGCGCTGCCTCTCTTCCGGCGACTCGGCGAGCGACCAGAGCATGGAGGCAACCGCCGCCGCACTGCCGCTGCCGTCATTCACATGAGTCGCAAACCAAGCGAGGCACGTCGCGCTGGCATCGAGTCGCGCACTCGCCTCCGACCACGGCACCACCGCACTTTGCATTTCCTCTGCACGCCCACCGCCACCCGCCTCTCCCCGTTGCCCCCGCCTCGCTTCATGCACCTCCGCCCGCCCCTCCTCCACCACCTCCACCAGCAACATCGCACGCAGCCACGTAGAGGCCTCCTTCGTGATGCCGTCAACGCCCACCGAGGGCGAAGTCCCGGTAACTTCCGTCCCACCAGCGACCCGGGTCAAAAAGGTGAACAAGAAACACAACTGCCGTTGACGCCACCCGGCGCCGCGCCAAACCTTGCTATCACCACGGTCATCGATGCTGCCCCCGTGTGTCGTGAAGGCCTCGAGCGAACCCCGCACCTGCCGCCACTGATCCATGCGAAGCGCGGGAGCCACCGTCGCCAACGCCGATGCCACGGCGCAAATGGAGGTGTTCAAGGTGTCCTGCTCGTGACTCACCAGCACCAAGGCATACGCGGAGGGCAGTACCACGCGGAGGTACGCATCCAACACAGATGCCGCCACTCCACCATCTTCACCTGCAGCACCATCAAGCGCGTGTCGGAGGGCATCTTCAATCAGGCTGGCCAACGTCAACATGTTCTCGGTAACAGTGCCCTCCACAACATCGAGGCTTTTCACCGCAATTGCGGAAGCACCTTTCCGCATAGGTGTATCGCCAGATTCCAACACTGCGGACTCCCTTTCGATACACGAGAGAAGCAGTGGAACAATACGTGTAAGAGCCACAAGAGGCGGCGTACACGTCGGGCGCAGGAGATGGTTGCGCAAACTCTGCAGCGCACAGCGTCGCACCTTGCCGCTGGTGTCGTGTAAACCAAGACGCAAAATAATTTCAACGTGGCAGGAAAGCAAATCACTCACGGTGACATGACTCGTTGCGCTTTCCTCCGTTTCACTGGGACAGATGGGCCAGAGCTCCGCAACACACTGCACCACACAACACCGCACTGTGCGCGCCTCATCCTCGCTGAGTGGTCGCAATAATCCTTGACAAATGGATTTGCGTAGGGCATCCTGCCCCGTTCCCAGGAGAGGGGCAACACACATGACACACTCCAGGGCCAAAAGGTGCCTTTCTGTCGACCTTGCGTTGACCAGGTTAAACAGCTCCGGCACAATGTCGTACTCCAAAACAGAGGACGGGACGTTCCGCAAAGTCATTGCCCACGCCCCGGCAACTGCGGCCCGGTGTTCGCGGTTTGGACGAGTGTAGAGGGTAAGAAGCTGAAGGCGGGCGGCAGCCTTGCTCGACTTTGTGCGATTTAGGGTCGCCGCAAGGCCAAGGATGGGGATGAGGACATCCTTCCGCATGGGGTCCACTGCACTCAAGAGGCTCGGCAGTCCTTTTGAAAGCACCGTAAGTGTCTTCTCCAAGTCTTCCTCTGCACGCTGCAACCGCGAGTGAAAAGGGACCAGCATGCCGGTCGCAACATCTTGGCTACTGCCAGTTCCCCGCTTCACAGCCCCCGTGAGGGAAGACTGTTGGTCCTCTGCAACTGCAGATGCAAGAGGAACACTGGGAGAACGATGATGCAGGAAGTCGGCTCCTTCGTCTTCCACCAACGGAGACTCGGAGGATGCAAACTGCGCCGTCGCCTGCTTTACAGCCCCCCAGAGAGCAGCCCTTCCCCGCTGCTTTCCGTAGGCCACAAGCACGTCCACCACCGCCTCATCGAGCGCCACACTCGTCACGTCACCGGCGCTCGCTGGCACCGCATCTACTGGGCCGCACGCAACCGCCAATTCGAGGAATGGGGCGTGCACCTCATGGTGCACCGTCTTCCACTCGCTGTAGAGCTCCACCAGCGTCGCGGGGCACCGATGCTCGTAAAGCCACGCGGCGACCTGCTCAACCGTGACGCCCTGCATGGGCAGCGGGGAAAACTAAAAAAATGAATGCAAGCGGCACAACACCGACGCCACAGCAGAAACAGACAGGCCGACAGGAGTTTACGGAGGGCCACGGCGAAGGGCACCGCCAAGGATTGTTCCGGTTCAACGGGCTTCGCAGGAAATGGGAAGCGCAACGGCCAAATTTTGTGGGCCGGCGACGAGGCTGACCGCAGGAGAACACGTCTATCCACAGGAAGGAGATCAGGCGGGCATGCAACTCCCTATCCAGTGGTATTCTTTCCTACTCGATGTGTGTGCCTCCCAGACGCCTGGAAAAATAATAATAATAACAACTGCGAGAGGCACACAAGCAAGAAAAAAAAAGGCGTTGGGCGACTCACAAATCAAATAAACAAATAAGAACTAAAGGGGGGAAGATGCAAGTCTTAATTACATGACCAGCGCAAACGTTTTTAGCACCCGCTGAAAGACGAGCTGTGACTGTTTCTTACTCCCCTGCAACGTGGCTTTACAAGCTGGGAGGCTGGGGCGGGGAAGGCACGTTTGCCTGGAGCACACACACAGTCGCCCGGGAACAGGCACGCGCACTGACACCCGTATGTATGGAACAGGTCATACTTACATTGGAACCCTACGCCGGTGCCACCACCGCCACCAACCAGATACATCCGGAGACATGCACAGAAAAAGAAAAGAAAAACAAAATAAAAAGCATTCAAACAGAAAGAACGTTTTCTCTGTTTTAGAAGCGGACAAATACAAATACAAATATAAACAAACAAAAAAAGATGGGCTGGGGTGGGGAGGAAAAGGCTGTCTTCTCGGCGGTGCGTGGCCGCAAGAGATCAGGCGGAGGTGACACCCTCGCCCCTCGTGAGTTTATCGCACGCCGCCAGCACCTCCCCCTCGCTACGGTACACCGGCTTCGGTTGTCGGTCGAGTACAAAGCGTTCAAAAAGCGCAATGTGCTTCTTGCGAGTGTTATCCATCCCTTCATTGTAGAGCCGCGCCACAACCATCTCCTGCTCCTTCTTCCCCAGCGTCTTGCGTGTGCGTTGCAGGGAGACCAACTCACGTTCGTACAACTCCTGGAATTTAAGCTGCTTCCGCTGAATCGACTCCTCGTACAGGTGGTGCACCATCGTCTCCACCTCATCCGCTCCCAGCTTCTTCTGCCGGGCACGGAACTTTTCTACCTCCGCATTGGCGCTTTGCTCAATTTCGCGCAGCCGTTGTTGACGGTGGGCGATGGAGTCGTCGTAGAGGTGTTTGATGCTGTGCGCCACCTCCTCCTGCGAGATCGTCTTCTGCTGCACCAACGGCCGGAGATGCACCTCGGCACGGTAACGCGTGCTGAGGCGGTTTGCGCTCTGCTCCACCTCCTCACGTGTTAGGGTGCGTGTTTTTGGAGCGTCCGCCATGGCTTCTCGCACCAACAGCAGAGACGCAGTGCCCAACTTTCTACTTCCTACACACAGTGAGCGGAGAAGGTACGAAGCAAGGCAGCATCGATAGGATACAGTGCACAGAGGTGCGCAGGTGGATATTTCAATATATTGCGGCATAAAGGATGCATTACGCATGTTGTCCAATACGTTTCACGGTGCTCCGCCACACCCAGACAACCAATGTAATGTTTTTCATTTCATTTCCCTCGGCGTGTATGTGAGTGGAAGAAGAGGAAGAGGAAGAGGAATGATGCAGGGGAATAGAAGTAGAAGTTCAGTTAACACCGAACACCTCTTACAGTCCACTCCTTTTCGTCGCTTCCTTACAAGGAACATTGCAGTGAAGAAGACAGAGGCAGGAAGGAACTATTGGAAGCAAGTAAGCATGCCCATATATGTGTATATGTATATATAGATGCATAGTTACAGACATGTAAAAGGAGAGGATGTACGTGTGAAGTCAAAGCTTGACAGGACACACGGGCCACTTCCCTCGCTCACTCGCTTTACAGCAACACCCACACACACGCACGCACTCATCAATAAATATACATTGGTAGAGCAATAGCCAATAACATTGTGTGCGCGAGTTACAATGGGGCAAAAAAAAAGACAAAAAGTGGGAAACGACAGCAACGCACAGCAGCAGCAGGAGCAGTCAGGGCCGCACCATTACTGCAAACCTTCCCGCATCGCGTCCGATGCAAAAAAGAAAAAAAACTACCCCTCCACACACAAAGTCACGCGTTCACGCTTCTTGTTGAATCGTTCCCATCATCGGTTGTTCCTGTCGCGGTAGACATAGCAACGACGCAGTTCCGCAACGGTGGTCGGCGTCCATACAAAGACAGCGTGTTTGGCGAGCTCCTCTGACGTTGGCGCGGGCACACCGTAGCTGGGCTCGTAAAGCTCAAACAGCCCCTCCAATGCGGCCTCTGCGGCTTGCGGCGAGTCAATGCAAAGACCGGCTCCCCATTCCAGCGCGCTGCGGCCTAACGCGCCACTCGCCTCGATGTATTTACTGTAAATGCGGTCCAGCGGCCAGTAGCGGCCAAGTCCATCGTCCACGACGCAGGATTCCACAACTGTCTCACCAATGAGTCCAAGCCGCGTCAGTTCCGCCGCCTGCGGCTGCTTCCCCTGGCCAAGGTCGATAAAGCAGATGAAGCGCAGCGACCCAACTTTCCCTGGATTAGAGACGTCTACAGGAAAGCGCAAATATCGTGGGGCAGTGTCTTTGCTTGTCTGAAACACAACGACGATGCCTTCGTACGATGGAAGAAGGGGGGTGGACCCTTCCCGACGGGAGACAAGCGCGTAGCCAAGGTTGTCGCCGCGAAGCTGACCATGCAGCATGAGGTCCAAAACGGTATAATCAAACAACGCCCGCGCCACAAGTTGGGTGTACAAAAATTGAAAGACCTCCCCATCACGCAGGGGCGTGTTCACAAGTACATCGTAACAAGGGTCAAAATCATCGTCTTCCTGCGTCAGAAACCTACCAATGACACCGTCCATTAGCTGCGTGACGACGTAACAAAGTTTGGTGCCAGAGTTCGCATCCACCCCACGGCTACACACGCGTACGTCCTCCTCTGGCATCCCTTTGGGGGGTGTGCTACTCACCACAAAATCATAGATGCGTGTGCCGTGCAGAATCCCACAGCTCTCCATCTGGTTAAAAAGAACAAAGAACGCCACATTCGTGAGGGATTCCTTTACATACGTCTCGTGATCCATGTCAGCTGGAATAATTAGACATTTCACCGCAACTGGAAGACGCCGTGGGCCAAGTCGTCCCTCGTATACCAAGCTGCTACCACCAGTCCCGAGGAACCTTACAATCTCAATCGCGTCTGTGTTTTCCTCAAACAACGCAATAGAACCTTCTTGAATGTACTGCCGCCAACGTTGCACAATGCGATCCTCGCTTATTTCTACGCCACTTTGCGGCTCTTGTACAGCTGAGGAAGGATTCTGCTTCTGAACAACGGGAGTGGAAGCCTGTAGAGAGGAGAAAAAAGGCAATAAATCACCATTGTTCCTACGTAAACGCGCAAGTGAATTCAATCCACAGTGATATGTTCGTGGCAATACGGAGGCCCGCCACAGTGTTGTTCGCCCCACGCCGTAGGGATCCTCAAAGAGGCTAAATAATTCTTCCAAGGCAATAAAGGCATCTTGTGGGCTGTGAATAACACGCTGCATCGCCCAGCTCATGACCACTTCTCGTCCCAATTGACCTTGACACGGCAGCATTGACGTGGCTCCAAAAAGCCGCTGGCGTGCCGTTTCCACACATCGTCGCGGAGACGCATAGCGGGGGATAACGGCTTCCTCAAGTGAGACAAAGTGAAGCACCCGTGAGTGTGGCGGAAAGAGGAGCCAGCGATCAGGAAAAGTTGGGTGCTCAAAGGCCAACGGTCGCCTCCCACTTGTCTGCACGCCAATAAGATCAGAACGCAGCGTATTCCCCTCCGTCTCGGCGATCATCCCAGGGAATCGTATGTCATACACGGCACGGAACACAAGCTGCAGGTAAAAGAGCTGAAACACCTCCGCATCTGTGAAGGGTTGCGTAGACAAGGATGGCAAGGTCCCTTCTCCCGTGTGTGGGCGGTGCAGTACGCCCTTCATTGTGAGTGGGTGTTGTAAGGCCACTGGTATTTTGCGTCCTCCGCCGTTTTCATCCCTTCGATGGCGATGGTGGGCAATATTATGGCAGAGCTGCAACAGCTCACGCGTGACGTTATTTGCCATCAGCTCAAGTCTCAGATGCATCTGGTGACGCAGCAATCTTCGCCAGTTTATCCATTGGAAGGAGAGGAAGGGCAAAGCCTGATCACAGTACCTGGCTTCCGCCAGCGCAATATAGAGCGCCACCGCCACAGTGTATTGCCTCCAGCGGGGCACGGTGTCAGCAACATCGACGCCGTTATCCGCGTTCCATGAGTGTGGGCTGCTGGAGATGCTCGGGGGATCAAGCAAAGGCTTCATGTAAAAGCGGTCCCCGTAATGCAGCGCTGAGAGGTTCGCGCAGGGGTCAATCGGGGGCGTCTCCACTGTGGCGTCAGCCTCGATAACTAACATCCTTCCTTCAACATCGTGTAGGTGCACCGTATGATACGCAGGAATAACAAATTCGTCTAAAAGTAGCGCAAAATCCGTTGGTTCTATCGCCCGCTGGTTGGAAGCAAACGCGCCGAGCTCACGTAGCTTGCGCAATGGATACAACACGGCAGAGGTGAAAGTGCCGTCGTCGGCGATGCCACCTGCCGGACGCAACGCCAATCTCTGACGAAGCAGGCAACGAAACGGCGCAGTGACAGGCTGCCTTGGAGGTCGTTCGAGCCTTTGCACGTTGGGGCGGGGAACGTCAGGTAGCGGCTCGCAGGACGCGTCCACACTGGGTTCTTCGTTGCCCGCATCAGCGACATGATCGGCACGCCACGGTGCAAAGCGCCGTATTGCCGCGCGGCGACGCAGTGGGTCCTGCCTGGCTGAGAGAGTTTTGGCCTGCGTCACAGGCATGTGAGGGGAGGTCTCCTCCTGAGCGTGAAGCGTCATTTAGCGGCCACACCCGTCACGCTTCTGTGTCCATAGTAGTACAACCACAGAACAAAAAAAAGAGGAAAACAAAAGAAAACAATCCTGCATAAACACAAATCAGAAAGGCAAAAGTATAGTAAATGTAGTTGTATGCACGCAAGGTACAAAGTACACCCAAAGAGAGACAGATAGAGGGAAAGGGGGAGAGGCAGACAGATGTACCTCGATGACAAACAACGACAATACGTGGCACCTGGCAAAGAAACCCAGCGGACTAGCGGATGAACTGCGGTGGTGGGCTCGTCTGTGGCGGAGAGCCCCGCTGGACTGTGTTTTCGTGTCGCTGACGCCGTTCCACTTCAGCCAAGTCGGCCTCCATTGTCTTGCGCCGCGTCGCCTTCTCCTCCTTGTTCCACAGGTACGGCATAAACCATGGGATACTCTTCATACGCTGATTCATCGTGTCAAGCTCCTTAAGGTACTTCAACCGGGACTCCAGGGTTGTGGAGGCCTCCCCAACGAGGCTTTCCATTTCATTCAGTAATTCTCGCGGCATCTCGCGCTCCAGCCGACCACCGTCGTAGATCCAATTCACCCGAGGAATGTGTGGACGACTCTTCACGCGACGAATGATCAGCTGTTGTACCCAATGATTTAGTTGGTGAAGTAGCGGCTCCAGCTCAAACCGCGCCCCCGGATCCACCGTGGACCACACAATATAAATCTCCTTCGAGCGACGGGATCCCAGCACCTCCTGAATGATAAGTTGGGCAAAGTCTATGCGCTCGCCAATGTGCGCGGGACACGCCCTCAGTGAACGGCGCAAGTGGTACGCCACCCGCTCACAGAACGCACGAGCACTTGGCGACATGTTAGACTCGTGTCGCAGGTAACGCACCTCCCGACTCATCATTCCCGTGGGCTCAGGCGCTGAGGGCCAGAGTGCGCCTCCCGCGAGCTTTCGTGCGGCAAGCGGTGTAAAGGGGATCGGTGGTGCGGTGTACTTGGCCCGCTCCTCCCAGCTCTCATACCGCAGCGCATCCTTCTCCGACAAACCAAAGTTGGCGCTATTTCGCAGCGGCTCCATGTCACCGAGACCCTGCAGCGCATACGTTTTGTTGAGGTTTACCCCTTCACGATCGAGCCGCGACGACTTCGAGTACAAGCGTTGCTCCACGTACCGATATGGTGAGTGCTCACCGGGGCTGATGCGACGCCTTCGCAAAACCTCAAGTATAGTGTTCCGACGCTGCTCCGCCGTTTGACGCAACGGCAGGACATTTGGCCGGCGAAAGCGGTAGCGAAGCTTCGTCATGTACTTCTGCGTCTGCCTATTTAGCAGCCGCGCCTGGGTGCTCACGAACATCCTTTCCGCTCGGCAACGCTTGGCTGATGTTTTCCTCCCACTGCTTCCATGCAACGGGGAGGAAAAAAACAATGAAGGAAAACAGAGAAGCGACACGACGGTGGTGCCGCTCGCGCGCCTTTGCCGTTGAAGAGAGCCCTCTTCTCCCCTTTTCCTCGCCGCACCGCCGCGCTCCGTCGACCTCTCGCAGCTGCTCCAGGGAATAAAATGCTGCCCAAACACGCGTGTCCTGGTGTTTTGTTTGGACTTCAAAGTAAGAAGAGAAGGGAGCAGAAAATACCACAACATACAAACACCCGGACACCCCAGTGTGTGTGAATGGGCGAAGAAGAACAGGAAAGGAAAAGAAAGCTGCGCATAAAAAAAATATGCCCATCCGAGAAAAAATAATAAATAAATAAAACAGCGCCATGCAGAGAAGCCAAGATACAAAAAGCAAGGGTTTCCACGTGCACGTATACCAACGCACACATACACGTAAACTTGAGAGAGTGGGAGAGGAGCCCACTAAGTGGCGCCAGGTCTTATTTCCTTCCGCTTGCGAGCCACCTCGTATTCGGGTATAACGGCCACAAACATCTTGCGGCCATGAAAGACGCTGGAGAGCGTGTAGTGTGGGTGATGCATCTTGCACAACATGCTTCGAATTGCGTGGAGGCGAGAATCCACAGTGATACGGCCCAATGGACTTGCACCCCGCCGTAGTTGGAGGGGACCACGTTGGCGATGATTGGCTGTGGTGAAGACGCGGTGAAAGTCCGCATCCTCCGCTAGTGGATCATCAACGTCGCCGTCTGACGCGGCGCTGGCGTCCAGAGACGTGTGCGACGATGCAACCGCGTTAGCCGTCGTGTTCGCCGGCGGCTGCGATGTGGCAGGCGGTAAGGCGTCACCTGCTGTGGTCGTCTTCTGCATAAGACGGGTTCCCGCACCTCCGCCCAGCTCCGCTTCGTCAGCGTCAACGTCATCCCCCACCACCTCACGGGCAGCCAAGAGGGCCACCTCGAGGTCCTGCGCCCGCGCTCGTACGGTGTAGACGCCACTGTCAATAATCATGAGGGACTTAATTTCGGTCATCTGTGGGACAAGGTAGCCGCTGCACCCCTGCCACGGCTCCTCAAGTGGCTCCCTTCTAAGGTGACGCACCCCGTCACCCGCCATGAAGGCGTGAAACGCTGCACACTGTGAGAGCATGAAGGGCATCACCTCCTCAATGAGCTGAAACAGAGCCGTCAGTGACTCCGGGACGACGTCGGCGTAGGTGCCCGGCACCTGGCTTACCCGCTCCCTCGGGTCTTCGGTGTGCTCCTCCCCGACGAAGACGCCGCCGCGCCACCCCGTCACCCGCTCCAGGTAGCGGTTCAGGTGCGGAAACTTCTGCACCACGAGGGATGCGGGCGGGTCATCCATCAAAAAGTTGGCGGAGAAAGCCGCCCCCATGGAAACATCCGCCAATGTGGGATGTGGCGTTCCAAGAATAAACGGCATGTCCGGGTGCTGTTGGAAGTGGTCATCAAGGGCTACGCAGAGGCGCTGAAAATGTTCCCGCATGTACGGCGCCGTCTCCTTCGACACCCCCGTGACCGACGTTAGTCGCTGCATCGCCTGTCGGAACTGCCGCACTATCGCACCGGGCAGACCAACACCAGGGATAAGGAGAAAGTAGCGAAGATACCCCTCCACAACGTCGATACTGTCACCGTCGATCCAGCGGTACATCGCCCCTGTCTTTGCCAACCACCATGACGCGTACAGAAGCACGGCCCAAGTTGCCAAATGAATACTCGGATGCGTATCTTTCAATACAAGAAACGGCTCTCCCTGTTTTTGCGCGCCAGACCGCTCAACGGCATCTATCAGCTGCCACAGCTGCAGCTGGGAATTGCCATCCAGCGTGACTGTGCAGAAGGCATTGCGGGCGCGAAACAGCAAGGCGTAGAACAGGGTTGTAGTCAAGGTTCGACAGTAAACTTTGAAGGGCTGACGACGCAGGCGCAGGTACACCACGTGCTGGTGAAGCGCCAATGCGTACGGCGAGCCTAACACCCGATACACCATTCGTCCAGTCGTCTTTCAACTCTCCCCTGCGCACACAAAAAGTTGCAAAAACAACAACAACAACACATACACACGGAGGGAGGGAGAAAGAGAGATGGAAAGG